TGTGAATGTGAGTGTGTGAAAGCGTCTTTGGGTGTCTAGAAAAGCCAATAAGTTCAATTATATTATTATTATTATTATTATGTGGATTTTACCAGAGCGTTCCATGCTGGTGATTCCCGACCACCTGTTTAGTGAGAAGCCAGATCTATTGAGCAGTTTAGTTCTGGTTCTGCTTGTAAGAGGTCACAGATCTTAATGAACTGTAAGTGTTCTGAGCCTCTCTTTGTTTTCTGATGTTTGTCGACGTTATCGCCATCTACTGGCACACCAGTTTGGTGTTTCTGTTGTTCTGAATGAAAGTTTTCCCTGTTTGAGGAGAAGCAGCAGAACCTAAGGTCTCCTGGTTGGTCTGGGAGGCCCTGCTGGCTGTGGAGAGGACGGTGTGGGCTGCGGCCCCATGACCTGGCTGAGACACGGATGAGTGGAAGATGACGAGAAAGAAAAGATGAAAACAATTTTGTGGTCACATCAACAAAAAGTTACCCTGAAACTCAGAAAACCTGTTCAACTTACCTTTGATCCTCAGATCCAGATGTTCCTCACAGCGCAGATGGATCTGGATTACACTGATTTGAAGAGCAGGTTGAGTCAGAGCGGCGCTGACCCAGTTCTGACTGATGGGTCTGGTGAGTAATCGCTGCCAGGATCTCAGACTTACAAATTTATTAAGAAATAATCGACCAAACACACGTCTCCTAAATAAGCTTCGCCTTTATTGGAAAAGCAGGAATGTTTGGAATCTGCACCGTGAACAAGAAAAAAATCAGAAAGTTCAAAAAAGCAAAGCAAAAGTGTTTTAATAAGAATAAAACTCAAGAGGGATTTCACTGAGAAGCCTTTGAAGAGGTGATCCTGACAGTAATGTGTGCGTGGTTCTGCTGTTTGTTGTTGGACCCAGTCTGACCCACTCCAGAGATGACGGGCCCGGTTATGAAACAGCCGCAGATGTAGGTGAGACTGATCCGATCCGCTGTTCGTCTGAGCGTTAGATTAGAACGTTGTGTTTGTTTCTCTCCTCACCGTGGCTAAGTACTGCTTCAGCAGCCTGGATCCATCACAGAGGTCTCTGGGTCAGCATCCAGAACACACACAGGAGCTCCGGGTTCTGCTCACCAAGGTCAGCCTCTGATGGGCATGTTCTCACATCCAGACCTAAAATCTGTCTGATTTAATGTTTATTTATTTACTCATTTGTTTCCTCACGAGAATGAGAACATGCTAACTCCACACCAGTGTGAGGAGAACATGCTAACTCCTCACCAGCGTGAGGAGAACATGCTAACTCCACACCAGCATCAGGAGAACACGCAGTGGCGGTTTTACTATTAGGCATAGGCCGGCGGCTGCCCGGGGCCCCCTTATGTTGGGGGGCCCCCTAGCCCTGACTGCTGGCACCCCTCTGTTAATGCCACAATGGACCATTCCTTTAAGAAGCCGATGCACAAACAGGAAGTGATTGGTTGTCATTCCACTCCAATCCAGTTGGTGGCGGTAATGCACCAAATTGTTGTTTGCCAAGAGCCATAAGACCACAAATAATAGTAAGAAGAGAGGCGGGAGCGTTCGTAACAAACTCGAAGCGATAGTCAAAACATGAAGCATGAAATGGAGTTATCCTAGTGGCTCCAGTTAGAGAAAGAAGCAACTTGCTTCAAAAAAGATTTTATCTTCACTTCTGAAAGTGACGCAGTTTTTCAATGTAAACATCAAAAGGAAGCAGAAAAGGAAAGACAATGGAAAATGTTTAAAGGGAGGAAAACAGACCAAAATGGAAAAGAGAAGAAAAGAAAAGAAAGGCAAAAGCACGGGAGCACTGACAGGAGCGCTCATAGGGAGAGAAAGACAGGAAAAAAGAGGAGGACTAATAAAAAGTGAAAATAACTCATGGCAGAAGGGGGGAGAGTTTCGCAAATCCAGTTAATGATAAGATTGTCGAAATTTTAGTGTAAGGGGGCCCCATGTCTGTGTTCGCCTTGGGCCCCCAAATTGCTAAATCCGCCACTGAGAACATGTTAACTCCACACGAGCGTGAGGAGAACATGCTAACTCCACACGAGCGTGAGGAGAACATGCTAACTCCACACGAGCGTGAGGAGAACATGCTAACTCCACACGAGCGTGAGGAGAACATGCTAACTCCACACGAGCGTGAGAACATGCTAGCTCCACACAAGCGTGAGAACATGCTAACTCCACACCAGCGTGAGGAGAACATGCTAACTCCACACCAGCGTGAGGACAACATGCTAACTCCACACCAGCGTGAGAACATGCTAACTCCACACCAGCGTGAGAACATGCTAACTCCACACCAGCATGAGGAGAACATGCTAACTGCACACCAACGTCAGGAGAACCTGCTAACTCCACACGAGCGTGAGAACCTGCTAACTCCACACCAGCATGAGGACAACATGCTAACTCCACACCAGCGTGAGTACAACATGCTAACTCCACACCAGCGTGAGGACAACATGCTAACTCCACACGAGCGTGAGGAGAACCTGCTAACTCCACACCAGCATGAGGACAACATGCTAACTCCACACCAGCGTGAGTACAACATGCTAACTCCACACCAGCGTGAGGACAACATGCTAACTCCACACGAGCGTGAGGAGAACCTGCTAACTCCACACGAGCGTGAGGAGAACATGCTAACTCCACACGAGCGTGAAGAGAACATGCTAACTCCACACCAGCGTGAGAACATGCTAACTCCACACCAGCATGAGGAGAACATGCTAACTCCACACCAGCATGAGGAGAACATGCTAACTCCACACCAGCGTGAGGACAACATGCCATCTCCACACAAGCCTGAGGAGAACCTGCTAACTCCACATGAGCGTGAGGAGAACATGCTAACTTCACACCAGCATGAGAACATGCTAACTCCACACCAGCGTGAGAACGTGCTAACTCCACACGAGCGTGAGGAGAACATGCTAACTCCACACATAAAGCACATGCTGGTAGATTTCACTTGGCTCCAACTGCAGGCTCACTTGTGGTTCTAAAGGTTCTGTACGTTTGGGTCATCCTGGCTCACCTCTTTAAAGTTAGGTTTAAGTCCCATTAGGGGTGGGCAATATAAACGATATAAGGTAGACACGATATAAAATTGGGTAATGATAGAGTTTTTGGCTATACCACGATAACACATGATGTCACTAAGATGTGCACCCTGCTGACATTGGGACAACAGAATGGAGTGACTGCAAGCATGGAGTGGGCAGAGGAGGGGGCCTATATGGCATATATTTGCCACATGAGGATATTTAAGAGCACGTCATTTAGACATTTATGAACAGAGGAAAAAATATATTGCAATATATATCGTTACTGCACATGCTTCAGATTATATCGCAATATAGATTTGAGGCCATATCGCCCAGCCCTAAGTCCCATAGTTGTCACGGACACTGGTGGATGGTGAAAATTGTCCTCTGCATTTTGACCCATCTCAATGGGGAGTGGTGAGCAGCAGACACGGCCGCGCTCCGGGACTATATTTGGTGGTTTAACCCCCGCAGTCCAACCGATTACAGCTGAGTGTCAAGCAGGGAGACACTGGATCCCCTTTTTTTAAAGTCTTTGGTATGACCCGACTGGGATTTGAACCCCGATCTCCCAGGGTGGATACTCCACCACTAGGCCACTGAGCTAGTTGGTTAGTTTGGGTAATTCTGGTTCATCCCTTTAGTTATGCTGCCATAGACTCCATGCTTGCATTAATGTTGCTGCCATTAACGGTTTTCTGTTGTTTAGAAATGACTGGTGTCCCTCTGGGTTGGTCTCCGTCTCTCAGACCCAGTCGGCTTCTTCTGGTTCTGCTGAAGGTTTTGTCCGGATCAACGTGTTTTTTTCTCTTCCATGTTTTTTCTGAGCAAAAAAAAAAAAAAAAAAACTAAAAAAAGATAAAATGATTCTGTAACTAAGCGAATAACTCGGGCTGTAGATCAGAAATGAAGCAAAGATTAATAGAAGTTTGATTTTTTTAAGGCTCTCCCTTAGAGATAGGGTGAGAAGCTCGGTCATCCGGGAGGGGCTCGGAGTAGATTTGCTGCTCCTCCACATAAAGAGGAGCCAGTGGAGGTGGCTCAAGAATCTGGTCAGGACGCCTCCTGGACGCCTCCCCGGTGAGATTTTTTGGGCACGTCCAACCGGGAGAGCCTAAAGGAAGACCCAGGACACGGTGGAGGGACTATGTCTCTCACCTGGCCAGGGAACGCCTTGGGACCCCTCCCCCGGAAGAGCTGGCCCAAGTGGCTGGGGAGAGGGAAGTCTGGGCCTCTCGACTTAGGCTACTGCCCCCGCGACCCGACTCCGGATAAGTGGAAGAAAATGGATGGACTTTTTTTTATTTTTATCATCCAGCAAGCAAATTTAAGCTTAAATTAGGTCAAACTTTTGAGGAAATATGGAATAAACATCACTACAGCCTTAATGGAGTAAAATGATTTTAGTTATTGGATCTAATTCTTTTTTTTTTTTTTCCAGAAAAAGCCTGTTTTCCTGAACATTCTGTGGAGTTTTAATTATGAATTGTGGCTAAAAATAAGTTATTTATAAAACAGTTACAGAACAAACCCTATGTAAACACACGCTGTTTACTTCCTGTTGAATTATCTGCGTGGGCTTTTCTAGTCTCTGGTTTAAATTCCTCTGAAACATTTTTGAAACATAATCTGTAATTTTCTTAATTGATTTTAATCCAGAGAGGGAAGTTTTGTTCTCAGCAGGATTTGTGCGGCCTGGCCTACATCTGACCGTCAGCGTTCAAATCAAATGATGATCAGAGGAGAATCCCTGTGATGCTACGTGCTGATTGGCTGATTCTGCGGAGCCCGCCCCTCTCCCCCCTCCTGTGCGATAACAGATAAATAAGCCAGACTAATGTCAGCCTCCCACAGCTCCACCGTTCTACAGCTCCGTCCATCTAGACCGTGGATGTTCTGCTGGTGCTGAAGCGGGTTCGGGTTCACGATGGACTTTTGTCTCTCGGCTGATTATCACTTCATCGGTCCTCAGAGGTCAGTCCACTCCTCATCTACCACTAGAGCGGCAGCAGAACCGGGTTTAGAACCTAGAACACCCGGTTCTGTTCTGGAGCTTGTTTGTTGTTGTTTTTAATGGAGTCACGGAGGAGCAGCGGGAGTTGTTACTGACATGAAAACCAAAACATCAGTAAATAAAACAAATATCAGACTAAAGAATCACGGACTGATTATTTACTAGACAACCTTGCATTTGTTTTTAATTTTGTGTTTTTATGACTTAATAATAATTCTGTTTTCTTTTGCTGGTTTTATCTTGGCGACACTTTTCATAAATTAGAAATCAACAAAAAAAAAACTCATCAAATGGATTTTTTCCCCATTCAGATAAAAGTAAACAAACTCCAATTATTCCCTTCAGCAGTGATCAGATCTGGAGTTTCTCCTATTTTCCTGCTGCTGGTTTCATCCCTCACTTTTCTTCCTCCTCAGCCTCCTGGACTCCTCCTCCTCCTCAGGTGCAGATGAGGCTCAGTCTCCCACCTCCATCCTGGACTCCTCACCCATCAGTCCTTCCTTCTCCCTGGGCTCCACTCCTGCTCTCAGCCCCCCACAGCCATTCTTCATCTTTCCCAGCCCACTCTCCTCCTCCTCCTATGGCCTCCTCTGTGGAGGTCTGACTCCAGACTCCTCAACAGGACGCGGACCCAGTGGAGGAAGCATCAGCAGCAGAACCTCAGAGTCGCAGTCTGACTTTTGTTCCTCAAAGGTGAGAAACTTTACAGTCAGTTCATCAGTTCAGTCTCAATCCATTCATTCATTCCTTTGGTGGTTCAGTGAGTCAGTCATTTATTCAGCAAGTAATCAAATGAATCTTCTAGGATTTCTAATTGGGCACATTTGTCTTTTCAGGTGGACTCCATCTTCAGAGGGGACTACCTGACCTCCATGAGGCCCTTGGGGTCCAAGCGTCTGTGTCTGGTCTGCGGAGACTTTGCATCTGGGTTTCATTACGGCGTGGCGTCCTGCGAGGCCTGCAAGGCATTCTTCAAGAGGACCATCCAGGGTGAGCAGGAGCTGGTGTGTGTGTGTGTGTGTGTGTGTGTGTGTAGGGGGAGGGGGGGGGGGGTGTCAGGAGATCCTGAGATCTTTAAATCAGATCAATAACTCAGACATTTGTTATTGATGAGTGTGTGAATTCATGAGCTCACTTCTTCATGAGAACATCTTTTAATCCTGGAGTCAAACTACAAACAGGAAGTAACGATTTGTCTCGTATCTACAGCGTCTGAGCTGACGGCCATTCAGGAATACTAGCGCTGCTTTAAAGATGATGTGCCAGCTGTGTTTTTGACTTCCTGTTTCTGGTTACCAAGGCAACATCGAGTACAGCTGCCCAGTGATGAACACGTGCGAGATCACCAAACGGAGGAGGAAGGCCTGTCAGGCCTGCCGCTTCCAGAAGTGTCTCCGAGTCGGAATGATGAGGGAGGGTACGTGCCTCTGAATCTGCTCTAGAATTCCCGATCCAGTTCTGTTTAGAATCCCGATCCAGTCTGAACTGGTTCTGGATGAATGATTCTCCAGACTTTCTGAAAGAGTTCTTCTTTGAACTTGAATTTCCTGGACGGCTCTTAAAGTTGACGGTCAACGAACCAACACAAACACATTCCTAGTTCTGGTTCTGGTTGTCCCTGGTTCCGGACTAAAGCTGAGAGACGAACTGTTCTGGGGAACTGTTTAGGAACCAGAACCGAGGACCAGACCTTCAGCCGCAGGTAAACCTTCCCTCTATGTTTCAGGTGTTCGTTTGGACCGGGTCAGAGGGGGCCGCCAGAAATACAAAAGGCGGGTAGAGACAGGAGTTCTGTGCTCCAAGGCCCACTACAGCTCCTCTGGCAGCACCAGTGAGTTCCTTCTCATGTTTTTGATGGTGTCCATTCCAGCTGGACCTCCTGGTTCTGACCCGTCTGTCCCTCTTTCAGGAAACAAGCTCATCTCCCATTTGCTGCAGACAGAACCCGGCTCCCTGGCTGCCAACCATGACGCCTCCACCGACGGTAGCCTACGGACCCTGCTGACCCTCTGTGACCTCCTGAACCGAGAGCTGCTGGTTCTGATCGGCTGGGCCAAGCAGATCCCAGGTACTCACAGACCCAGACGGCGTCTTCTCCAGAAACTAGAACTCCCATTCAGGCTCGGAGACGGCAGAACTACCTCCAGACACAAATCAAACCCGAGTCTCACCCGTCTACCCCTCCTCCAGGTTTCTCTGACCTCTCATTGGTGGATCAGATGTCCCTGCTGCAGAGTGGCTGGATGGAGGCGCTGCTGGTGGGCGTGGCCTGGCGTTCCCAGAGCGCAGCAGGGGAGGAGCTTGTGTTTGCTGGAAACCTGCATCTAAGTGAGGCTCAGTGTCGAGCTGCGGGATTGGCCGACGTGTACGAGGCGGTGCGACACCTGACAGTCCGTTACCAGGGGATGAAGCTGCGTCTTGAGGAGGCGGTGACTCTGAAGGCCTTGGCACTCGCCAACTCCGGTACCAGTTTAATCCGGTTCTGTAGCTTTAGAATCGCAACCCCAATACTAATTCAGCAGCAGGGGACAAAATTCTGGTTAAACAGAAACCAAGTCACTCATTTGGACCAAGAAGAACCCAGTTTCACAGATTAACATGAGCATCTTGATCTGATCCGGTTAAAAATCCAGATTATTAATCAGGTGGGTTATAGCTGAGCAACATCTGGAACATTTAGGCCCAGAATTAGACTAGCTGAGTGAACAGCAGGGGGCGGTAGAGCAACACAACCTGGTGTTTATGGGCTTTATTCATAAAGTTTCAGGATTAAATTACCAAAAAAAAAAAAAAGTCAATATTCTGACATTCAGCGACAAAGGAACTCAACTTGCAGGATTAACACCTTAAATTTACTGAGATCTCCAAATCTTAAACTTGCAATAAAAAGCTAAATATTTCAGATTAAAGTTGTGAGGGCATGAAGGATGAGGCATTCAGGGACCGTGGTACATTATGACTCTGCACACCGTAACTAGCTGTTAGACCAACAATTCTGGTAAAATTAGGACTTTAGTCAATAAATATTAAAGTTTTGCTAATCTGGATTTTGTTTAGTAAATGAAAGGTTTAAACATCCGATTTGGATATTTTTCCATAAATGTTGATTGAATTTTCTCTGGTTTGTGAGATTATTGATCAGAGATTACAGACGAAGTCTGGTCCGTCTCTCACAGTCTGAGCCTCAGATCAATACAGCCTATTGATCGACGAGCCGTTTGGGTTTCACACAATAGAAGAACTTCAACCTTGACCTTATTTTGTCTTCATCTGTCTGGTTTCCAGAACCAAAACCGGGTCACCTAACCTGTTCTACTTTAACGTGTTTAAAACTATAAATAAAACTTTATTTCCAGCCTAACATCACCTGAAGAACTAACGGACCCGTTTGGCTCTGTCCGTCAGATACCGACCCGGTGGACTGTCCTGACGCGTTGCAGCGGTTCCGGGATGGGCTCCACGAGGCGCTGCAGGACTACGAGTTGTCCCGCAGGGAGCAGCACCGGACGGGCCGCCTGCTGATGAGCCTCCCGCTCCTGAGACAGACCGCAGACAGAACCGTGCAGAACCTCCTGTGGCTGCAGCGTCAGCGCCGCATCCCGCTCCACAAACTGCTGCTGGAGATGCTCGATGCAAAGGCGTGAGCTCTTCCCGTCTGCAGGGGAACCAGAACAGCCCATCGCATTAAAGGTTCTGATCGAGACATCTACCTCCTCAGAGATACAACCCAAACCCGGTTCTTCGACAGGAATCCACTTTCATTTGATCTTTGTAGCCAAAGGACACGTGGCGCCGCAGCGATGCGCCAGACCAACACAGAGGGAACCGGGTTCTGGACTGAGAGTCCCATCAGCTCTGGATCAGGAGACGATGCTTAAGATCCAGTTTGGTTCTGGTCAGTTATGACCTGGAGCTGCAGGTCGTGTGTTTAAAGAACCAGAACCAGTGTCCATGATGAAGTTCATCCAGCTGGATGAAGATGAGGGTCCAGTTAGTGAGGAACTAAAGGGACTGAAAGCCCAGTTCAGCAGAACCAAACAGAACCGACTGTTTTAATTCAGGATTAATCCAAATGTATGTATTTGATCTGGGAGAGAAAAGCCGACCCGTTTTACTGAACCGGTTTTCTATGAGTGGTTCTGATGGATCAGACCCAATGGGCCGTTCGCTAAGCCACGCCCCCCTTATGTTTGTCAGATGCTTGTACCCAGAACGCCACTCGTGTTCCGTGTGTGGGAGGAAACCCACGAAGGCGCGGGGAGAACAGGCTAATGTCAGGCCGCTGGGACTCAAACCCGCAACCTTCCCTGCAGCTTCTGCATTTCACCTGTTGGAGGGGCGGGGCTAAAAGAAAGGGAAGTTAGGATTTTAATGATGTTGTTTAACATTTCTATTTGAGTTTAGTGTTTTGTTAACGAACACGGGCTGGTTTGGTTTAGACGACTGTAACTCGGTCTTAACTGGGGTGAGAGAGTGCAGGAGCTCGTCTGCAGCTTGTGCAAACCGCCTTCCTAGAAGGGAGAAGGAAATATGATCATGTGACACCGATCCTGGCAGATCTGCACTGGTTACCGGTCGTTTTTAGAGTGCGTTTAAAAATTCTTTTATTGGTTTTTAAGGCATTGAACGGGATGGCACCAGAATATTTATCTGACTTGTTACAGCCATATATAACTGTGTGTGGTGTTTATTTTAAATGCTTTTATTACGATTCTTAGTGGGCTTCCTAAACCTATTTTGGCGTGGCTTTTTCTGTCTTATTACTCACAGCAGCAAGTAAACGTCACGTAAAACGTTGCCTCGTGTTTCTGCGTGCTGCCGTTTACGTGTTTTATGATCACAGCAATTAACCGACTAAGCTGTATTTCATTTTTAAGCAATGGTTGATCAATTGTCAGATCACACATAAAAAGCACTTTGGATTGCTGTTATCAGTCTCACCGAGACGGATCTCAGACAGATCCTGAGACGCTCCTGCCTGACATTTTTATTTTATTCACGGAAATAAATCAGACTAGTGATTTCTCTTGGCGTTCAGTTTATACATTCAAACAGCACAGCACTCTATTTAAACTACTTACGTGTAAATCTGTTATTTGTCCATCCATCCATCCATTTTCATCGCTTATCCGGAGTCGGGTTTCTGGGGCGGTAGCGTCGAGAGTCCCAGACTTCCCTCTTCCCAGCCGCCTGAGCCAACTCCTCTGGGGGAATCCCAAGGGGTTCCTTGGCCAGGTCCGGTAAGAAGTCCGCTCCGACAGCTTCTGGCGTTTTTAAAAAGTATCCCAGGGGCACGGTAAGGGTCGGAGATGTTTAGTCTATTTAATTTCTGACTATATAAAACGATTTCTTCGGTTTTAAAGTGTGAAGTAAAGTCCGACGAAGTAAAATCCAAGCCGATCCCGTTCACTTTGTTTACAATTGTTGCCTGCCAACATGGCATCTACTCTCTGAGAGTCACGTGACGTCCGGACCTCTATACATCTACCTAGTCGTTCGCTCCGCTCAGAGTCACCATACGCTTCTAGTCCCCGCAACTAGGCTCTAAACAAGAGGAGACGGGGCTTTTTCGGTAGCAGGCCCGAAATTATGGAATGATCTTCCATTATCTGTGCGACTCTCCACGTCAGCAGAGGTTTTTCAGAAGGCGCTGAAGACCCATTATTATAATCTGGCTTTTTACTCGTTAACTGATGTTTTGCATTTTGCTGTTTTTATTATTTGGTTTCCATTTATTCTTTGTTTTTATCTTTTTTTTAGTTTACTCTTGTTCAGCACCTTGGTGACATAAGATATGTCTGTAAAGTGCTTTTATAAATAAAAGGTGATGATGATGATGATCTTAGGTGTGTTCTTGCTGTGTCGTATTTCTAATTCCATGCTGTAGTTCTTTTTTAAAACACAGAACAGTTTTGTTACCTGCTGCAAACGCAACAGGTAACAAAACTGTTCTGCGTTTTAAAAAAGAACCACAGCATGGATGAGGATGATGGTCGCCATGATGACGGTTAGATTCAGACAAAAACCAGTGAAGAATAAAACTTTTACACAAAACCCTTTTTTGGTGTGTTTAATTTGAAGCTGGTTTATCAATCCCACAAATAAATAAAACAACCAAGAAAATGTTGACAAACGTTTAGAAAAACACAGAATCCAGTTATTCTGGGACCGAGTTGGTCTTCGCTCCAAACCGATTCAAATCTTCTGAATTATGAACAAGTTCAGCGAAACCGAGTTGTTATTTTAGAGGAACATAAAAACGGTTTTCAGGAAGTCCGTTTTACATTTAAACTAAAAACTTTGTCTCTATTTTCGGTTTCTGAGAACAAAAAAAACGAACTTTAGTGTTTTTGTGATTAAACAGAATAATCTGGATTATTATTCGGCTGCAGCTCGACATGAGGATGGACTCGCTCTTCCCAGTTTCGTAGATTAGTCTGACGAGACGCTCGACCGGTGGGTGCAGGCCTACAGAGCAGGAAGCTGATTGGCTGAAACGTTCAGCTTCACTCACACAAAATAAAAAAATAAATAGTGTAGAAAGGTTCTAGCTTTAGAAAACAATCGTACAGGAAAGGAAAAAGATCCTGAGAGATTTGTAAGGAAAGTTATAAAAAGGAGCTTCGCGGCTTCGCTCGGACCTCCTGACCCGGCTGGTTCTGTAAAGTTCGAACGTTTAGTCAGCTTCCTTAAAGCTGCCGCTTCGGATTCTGATGAAATCGCGTCCGAAACGATTCAGGACTTCAGCAAACGCCGCCTCGGTGGCAACCATGGCAACACAATCACGCTGGTTTTACCTCTCGCGTCGGTTCGTAGCCCTCCGGTCTCGGTGCTGCGATCAGAAGCTGGTCTCGTTCATGTGCGGTTTGGGACTGGCTGCTGCGCCGGTACCGGTGCCATCTGGACTTGCTGGGCTCTCAAGTGGTGAGGAGGAGGATGATGAAGATAGGGACGGTGGGGGTGGTGACGCTGCGGCAGATCGGCGAGGTGCTGCTGGAGTCGACGAGCGGGTTGGGCTAGTTGCAGTAGAGGCGGGGCTTGTTGGGGAAGTGGGAGGCGCCCTGCGGTGTGATGAAGAGGAGGCTAACGGTGAAGAGGACGGAGGTGGGGGGGTTCCAGGTGAGTGACGAACTCCAGGGGACACGGTGAAGCTGGTGGGGGTCCTGAGGTGGAGCCTGGACTCCAAATCACTGCACACAGCGACACTCCGCCTCACGCCCTCCGACCACGGCGAAGCACCAAACCCGGAGCTCACAGTGACCTCTGACCCCTTGGCCAGCTCCTGGCAGCGCTCCACAAAGCTGCCCCTGCGCACAGACCCCGTGTCTCTGTCCCGGTCCGGGTGGTGTCTGAGAGGGCGAGGGCTGGCGTTCCGGACGTGGGCAGAGCCAGAGAGGCCGGGCCCAGCTGAGAGGCCGCTGTCTCGACCCGGTTTAGTGAGGGGGACTGGGGGCGGAGCCTGACGGGGAAGGCTGCCGCAGAGAGAAATGGACGAACCCAAAGCTCCAGCGGCCCCTTGTCCTCCTGCTGGCTGGACCCGATCGGACCGGAACCCATCGCTGAGCTGAGAGTGAAGGCTGCAGAGACAGGAAATGACATCACATGGCTGCATGTAAAACCCTCAAGGCACAAATTAGACTTGTACCTGCAGGTGGACGCTCTCGGGGTGCTGTCAGGTGTTCGGGTCAGAGCCAGGTCACACTGGTCTAACAGTTCTAGAAGTTCCTCCTCCGTTGGCCCGCCCAGCGCTGTCAGAACAAAACCACAACCATCAGTCAGCCATCGACCAATCACACGAGTCCAAAGGGGCCCATGGTCAATTATCCCAACCTCTGATGTCCACCTTCCCGGCTATCTCCATGGCGGTCGTCAGGTCCCACATCTGGATGCTGCCGTTGCTATGGCCACTGAACAGGTAGCGGCGTGGCCGCGATCCGATTCGACTAGAACCCTCACACTCGTGGACCATGAAGGCCGTGATGGACGTCCCGTCCACCGAGCGCACCTCGCACACCCTGAAAGGAGGGCGATGAAATTAACTAGTTTAATAGCTGACCTGCACGGTCGGCAGCGCTGTTACTGACTGAGGAGGTTGCAGGTTTGAATCCCAACCACAGCCTGTCTGTGCGGAGTTAGCATGTTCTTCCCGTGTGTGGGATTTCTCTGGTTTCCAGGTTAACTGGAGACTAAACGGTCCCTCGGTGATGGACTGAACACCCCTCTGTGGTGTCTCCCACCGCGGACGAAGACAGACACCAGCTCCCACAGACCGTCCTCAGGACCAAGTGGTAACAAAAAGAGACTTGGACCTGTCTGAGGAGCGTGTCCCTCACCTCTTCCCGTTGGACGACAGCCTGACGTAGAGTTTATCCGTATCGGGAACAACCCTCTGAATGAAAACCTGCTGGTCATCTCTCTCCCCGTATGGACCTGGAACACACGATTAACCCGAAACTGAATTCAAGAGTCTTGGTGAGATCCCCCCGCTGCTCTGGTTCTGGTTTCCCGTTACCGATCTCGGTCCCGGCGCTGCAGCCTCCATGTCCATCTATGTCGTCCAGGCTGAGGATCTTGAAGGAGGTGAGCGGCGTCGATCCTGGCTGGGTGGAGATCATCCCTCTGAAGCGAGTGACGGTCCACGTGCGGACGTGGTTGTTGTCTGCACAAACTGAGACGCAAACGGGAACGTCAGCCGCTGCCGGCGGGGAGAGCCTCGGGCCCAAATCTAAACGGGTGTAAAATGGCTTCTACTGGTATCTCAGCGGTTATCTAGGACCCATACCTGAGATGAGGTGTTTCTCTGACAGCATGATCTTGGTGACCGGGCTGCGATGGACCGAGAAGGTCTGGAACAGCTGAGGTCCAGAACCAACCGTCTCTGGATGTTGAACGATGACACGGACCGTCCCAGAACTGGTCCCGTAAGCGATCTCAATCCAGTTCCCACTGTCACCTGAACACATCCGGCTGTTACCAGGGTCGTCACGGTGTGAAAGTGTCACCTCACGGTTATTGTGACCAAAATTATCACGGTGTTCGGTATTATCGCGGTATTTTTTTAAACGTGTTACATTTTCAGACAACTACATAAATCCTGTATATCAGGAAAATTTTGTCCTCAGTTTGTGTCTAAATTTTGCCTAAAATGTGTTATTTTGTAATTATGTTGTTTATTTGTTTACATTTTTCCCCTTTAGTCTTTAAAATACCAATATTTGCCCATAACTTCTTATTTATTGTCTGTTTGATGTCATCATTTTAAAATATTAGATCAGATGATACTCAGTACTCAAGTAGCCTTCTAATCAGATACTTTTTTACCCTTACTTGAGTAATAAACCCTATATCAGGAGAATATTGTCCTCGGTTCGTGTCCTTCCAGTGAGCTTTGCAGATGTGGGAAAATGTCATCAGGCAGTAATCTTTGTTAAATTCATAATTATTCTCGGAGAGAGACCAACTCTTATCTGCCCCTGGGAGCCCCGTAATGCATAGCGTCATTTCAACATGGCGGTGTCCGCGACACGGTTTATATGCAGGTAGCGGCGCTGCGGCTGCTTTATATAGCGACTCGTTGCATTCTCCCTCAACCCAAATCCTCGGATCACGCATTTTAGCTAAAGCGCTAACGTTAGCTTGCCTTGCGTTGACTGTAGAGTTGTGGGTGATGGTCACGCTGATGTGTCATGAGATTTGAAGCGTTGCTGCCTTTCACAGACACTTTTTCTGCACGTGCTGCAAACAGGATAGCCGTCTTCTATCAGCTGTCCCTCGGCATTCTTCAAATATCCAAAAAACGCCCGTACTTCCCACTTTGTCTTCTTTGAGGGATAATAAATGTCCTGAGCGCTGCCGTCTCCTCCTTTGGCCATTATTTCAGCTTTAGCTTCAAGAAAGTTTTGGTTGTAAACAACAAAGTGCGCATGTGCCGCCGGCAACTTCAGCAGATGATACGGTGGCTGGTAAGGGTCACCGCGCCTACACCGCAGCCACGCTAATCCACCGAGATAATATAGTTTTTTAAAACAAGACGGTTATTATTATTGTCAACTTTTTTAACCGGGGTTTACCGCTACACCGGTTACCGTGACAACCCTAGCTGTTAGTGAGGCTTCGTTAAACTTGTCCTTTGATTTGGCTCTCTAAGCTCAGCCGAGTCCTGACTGGTGTCTCCTTCAGCCAGAGCAGAACCAGCTGACCAGTGCTCTACTCGCTTACTGGTTTTGGGAGTCAGGTAAACGCTGAGGGCGGTGATGGCGTCTTCAGTTGGGTCTCTGTAGAGCTCAGTCACTAGCAGGTCGTTGTCCTTCATCCTCAGAGGAAACTTCTGAACATCTGACCAACAAAAAACACACAAACGTCCAAAACTGCAGCAGTTTACAGAAAACAAGGTGCTGGTCTTCAGGTGGAGCTTCTCACCGATGTAGTAGATGGACCCGTTGTTGCAGCCCAGGATGAGGAAGGAGCCGGCGGTGTCGTAGCTGCTGATGGGAACCACGTCCTGGTTCTGCAGAAAGACCAGAACCAGACCGGGTCAGAGACAAACCACAACGCTCCGCGGCCTCGTTTGACCTCAGATCTAAAGCTTGTTAGGAGGAACCCTTCCTGTGATGAGAAATGATAAAAGACCTGCAGTGTGGCACCTTCCTGAGTCAGAGGACTTCGACTGGTGATGATGTTGATGATGATGAAGGCCTCTGGTTCTTTTTAATGAAATGTTTTTGGGTAAAAGATCTGAAACCTTCACAATTTACTACAAAATGCAAAAATTCAGCTAAAACAGAAACATGCTTCAGGTTAAAGAGTTTAATGTTCTGATGTCAATTTCCTTTGTTTTCTATATTTGTTTTGTAACACACACACACACACACACACGTGACCCAAGTGTTACTCTCCCCACCTGCCAGTGTTTGGTGACGGCGTTCCAAACCCCGACCTTCCCTGTGTGACTGGTGGCGATCAGCTGATTACCAACGAAGAACAGTGCCTCAGCCGGCACATTCAGGCTGAACACACCTGCAGGACCAACAGAACATCAGATCGCAGGTAACTATCAGATCCAATCAGAACCCTGAATCACCCGGCTCTGTCCTACTACCCCCCCCCCCCCATCGTACCGATTTCATTCCCATTCCCGTCTGGACAAATGGTCCACAGGATGATCTCTGTCACCGAGGCAACAGCCACCATCTTGTCGTTGTCCCCTAGTGACCCTCCCATCACTCTGGCGTTGAGAGCGACTCTGTCGATCACGCAGTCGAGGCGAGGGGAGGTGAAGACCTGCTGCCACCCGGTCGACTCCTTCACTCTGAAACGGGAGGAAACGGCCGTGACTGAAGCGGATACAGGGAAACATCCGCATTTCCACTAAGAGAACACTAACCCATAAACAGCCAATCAGAGGCTGGTTCTGATCACTAATAATCCACCTTTAATCCTGAAAGCTGGACTTAATCTGACAGGTTTACCTGTAGCAGACAACAAACTGAGCGTACGCCACGGCGATCCAGTTATGATGCCCACAGATGATCCGAACCAGGCCGGAATCCGACGACCCACCTGCGCACACCTCAGAGACCTCAGCGTGGGCCAGAACCGCTCACAGACCTTAACCAGAAAAAAGAATCGCGTTACCTGCTGATGATCTCTCCTCCGTGCTGATCCTTCCCAACATCCCAGAGATCCCTAGGTTGGGCGGCATCGTGTTGCTGCGTCGGACCGGTACACGCTCCCCTGATACAGCCCGACCCGCCACGAACTGCGATCCAGCCACACTGTGGCGGTTCCGCCGCTTCACTGGGTAAACTGAGACGACACACCGTCACTTCAGACGCTGAACTGGAGCTCTGCTGAAGGTCAACTGGGAGGACAGGTGTCCTACCTGGTGGAGGCAGGTAACCGTTGAACAGAACGTTTCCACAGGAGGACCGGTCCAATTCGTCACACAGCTGCAGCTTGCGAACTAAATAATGCAAAGAAATAATACTGATCATTTTAAACGGATAAAAACTCCCGATCCAGACCAGAACTCCTAAGAACCAAAGCTGCCCTCGCAGGAGGAGGCAACACGGTTGCCATGGAGACTAACAGTAAACTAGCCAGAGGGAAGAAAGCATACCAACTTTATTTATAAAGCACATTTAAAAACGGCATGGCAGCAGACCAAAGTGCTGTACAGGATAAAAAGTAAAAACACTAGAAAACAAGACACCGTCAACAATAAAATACACAACAAGGCAGATAATCACGGTCAATAAAAAGACACAGTAAAATAATAAAAGTCAGGGATTTAAAAATGCCTGGTCGAAAAAGTGAGCCTTAAGCAGCGACTTGAACCGGAGGAGGGATGGTGCCAGCCTCACTGAAAGAGGAAGAGCATTCCAGAGCGTAGACAAAAGCACGCTGCCTCCGCGTTTTCTATTTCATTGTTGGAACGCGAAGCAGCAGGCGATCAGCAGACCTCAACGCCCGGTTTGGCACATAACGAGTCACAAGATCCGACAGGTAATCCGGAGCCAGACCACTCAGGGCCTTAAAAACAAAAGTCAGGATTTTAAACTTGACTCTGAAGTTTACGGGTAGCCAGTGGAGCTGCGTCAGTACAGGTGTGATGTGGTCTCTTCTAGGGGTGTTTGTTAAAAACCTGGCTGCCGCGTTCTGTACCACCTGAAGCCTGTTGAGAGCGGAGGCAGGTAAACCAATTAAAATGGAATTTGCATAATCCAGTCGGGAGATGATAAAAGCATGGATTACGGATTCACGGTTGCACGGCTCCAGTTTGTGCAGAACTCTGTGGCTAGGTTCCTGACAGGCACTAGATGTCGAGAGCACATTACCCCAGTGCTGACTGCTCTGCACTGGCTCCCGGTGCAATATCGGGCTAAGTTTAAAATCTTAACTCTCGTTTATAAGGCCCTCCAGGGCAGTGCCCCCTCGTACATTACTGCACTTTTGCAGAGGTATGCTCCGTCTCGGTCTCTTCACTCAGCCGAGCAGGAACTTCTGGTTGTCCCCCGGTCGAAATATCGATCGAGGGGTTGTCGTGCTTTTCCTGATCTGGCTCCAACTCTGTGGAACGAATTGCCACTGAGCATTAGGCAGGCACCGTCCCTTCAAGTCTTTAAGTCTCGTTTAAAGACTCATTTTTATTTGATTGCGTTTTAGCGCTAGGGTTCTTTTAATTGCCCTGACATCATGGTTTTAACTATTCTTCTTTTGAACCCAGATGCTTGATTTTATTTTGTCCAACATTTATTTTTGATCGATTAGTCTTATTCCGATATCTCTCTTTATCTGTAATAGTGTTTGCTTGATATTTTATGATTTTATGTTTTTATCCTGCTTTTATGCCCATGTACTGGGAATGTTTTTCCTTTAATGATGTTGTTCAGCACCTTGGGCTTCCGATAATGTTGTAGAAGGTGCGATACAAATAAAATTTGATTGATTGATTCCAGGTGCGCTCGTTTCAGGAAGCGAACTAGTCTGCGCAGCACTGCGTTAATCTGAGGGCCCATGGAAAAGTGTGTATCCAGTTTCACCCCCAGGTTGGTAACACACTGCTTGAGGTCACATGGGAGAGTGGCCAAATCAGAAGATACGTGTGTGGTTTTGTTAGGGGTCATGAGGAGTTCCTCAGACTTGGAATCACTCAGCTTCAGGAAATTGTTGACAAGCCAAACCCTCACTTCAGCCAAGCATTGGTCCAGAAGAGAGAGGGAGCCTGAATTGTTCAAAGCCAGGTAGATCTGGCAATCATCTGCATAAATATGATAGCCCAGGCCATAGAAAGGAAGCTGAGACTGTAGAACATTCGAGTGTTGCTTTTGTTCTGGCACCAGAACCTTTTCAGAGGATTCAATTTATTTTAGTTTGCAGCAAATGAAAAGAATCTAAAATTTGAGTTTTTGTAAACAAAATAAAACCCGTCATGAACCAGAACCAGTAGTTAAGAGATCCCTGGTCCTTCAGAGTTCAGATCCATGTTTTCTGGAACATTTTTGTGATATAAGAAAACAAAAATCTGTTTTTTATAAATGACACAGAAATGAGACGGATGATCAGAAACGTGATTTCAGATTATAAATGTTGGGTTCGATTTAATTCACGTCCAGTGGAGGATTAGCAGTAAAACACGGTGGTTCTGTCATGGATTTGGACAAAAAGCTGATCACGATTCTGCTGAGCATCATCGATCTCCACCTGATGCACCTGGATTTAAAAACAAGAGACTGGACTTGGATCAGCTCCACCAGAACCAGAAGCTCAAAGTGACTGAAACAGGATGGGACGGTTCTGGTTAGCCTGGCCTGCCAGACTCCTCCTCTGTTTAATTCTGCACAGACAGGAACTGGGAACGCTCCTATTCAAATAACCCCGCCCCCTGAGAATTCTAACCGAGCCAATCAGCGCTGAGCAGCGTACGTCACACACCACAACGCCGAGTTCGCTGCAGCTCCTTCCTCTGTTCTAAATGACTCGAATGTCTTTAAAACCACAACAAGTAGAAGCGCTAAAAACATTTCGTCTATAAAAAAAAAGATGTTTGCGCCATCGCCAGACGCCCTTTTTTCTTTTCTTTTTTTTACTACAGCTAAAAAACTACAGCGTTGCGCGGTACAGTCGCCATTTCTGTCTTTTTTCTGATTGATTATTTTTAAGCTGCCTAGTCCCGCCCCTATTGTGCCTCTCTACCTGTGAGTAACCAGACTCTTTCTCTGTGCAGAACTAAACAGAGGACGAGTCTGGCAGGCCAGGCCAGGTTCTGATAGCCAACAGAACCAACAGCCTAAAACACCTAAACACAACTGAACTTTTCCTGAAAGCTAAAGAAATAACATAACGTTAAAAAAAAAGCTTCTAGAATTTGAAATCCTTCATAAACATCATTCTGACAGTAAGCGTCAGCTTCCGACTTCCTGTGTCTCACCCAGCGGCGTGATGCCGTAGAACTCGGCCTCGTGAATGAGCATGTGTACGTTGATGGAGCGGGGATATAGCTCTTTGGTTCGAAGGAAGTTGAGGATAGGAGCGAATAGGGAGGGGTCCCGGTCGATGAAGATCTACGAAGATCAAAACCAACATCAGATTAAACCGTCATTAGATTAGAGTTATAATCCAGGATGGGTGAACTCACAGCTCCAGTTTCATCCTTTAGAGTCGAGATGCGCCCACTCAGAAGACTGGTGACATAAACACAACATCAACATCACACTGGTTCCAGAGACAAAATCTTTACAGGAGATCAAACATCAGCGGTGAGGAAGTAACATCTGCAACATCTGCTGCTGCCTCCCATTAAAGAACATCACCATCCATCTTCAGCACACCAAACTGAAGCGTGCACGCTTTTGTTCATCGAGTCTTAAAATGCATCATCTGTATAAAAGCAGCAACACCTCACAACGGTGTCTTCGGTAACTAACAAAAACCATAAAGTGTGAGTCATGACTCACCTGGAGAAGAAGGAGTCAGGAACCCAGGTGAGCGTCTGTCGGGATGTGCAGAACCTGGAGACAAACATCAGAGTTTAGACTTTAAATAAACACTCCAGGGATCAAACGTCAGAGATGAGCAATAACTCATTCATAACCAACACATGGTTCTGATGGATGACCCGGTCTGAGGCCTGGTTCAGTAAAATCAGATGACTCGGTATGTCTCTTGATCCAGATCATCGGTACCTACGACCTCAATGACAGCGCTAACCATCTTAGCTAGCATTGTCGGACACACATTTTTGGACTAAACATCGTTATACTTTTATTATTTTACCATTTGATTCACATAATCTGTTACATTTATTATTAAATTTATATTTAACTAAGTCTAAAAAGAGTTGTCTATTAAATTAAAATCAAAGTAATAAGAATATCTGGTTGGTAAATAATGGCTAGCTACGCACTGCACAGATCAGTGAACTACGAACTGAGTTTGACCCTTTAAATCCGGGTTAAAGCTGCTAGAAACAGTGAAAGTGAAATACTGTGTTTATTTGGCTTTGGTGAATCATTTTATCTCAGTTTTCTGGACTTTAATTGGTAAAATCACTGATTAACACTGTACGTCCGATAACGGATGCCGTTGTGTTAGCATGGAGCGCGCATTGTGTTTTAGCTGAAACTTCCCGGAAGCCTCACCTTTTCCCACCGACGTTCAGGTGGATGATGTCTCCGCTCCTTACCGGAGTACACATCCTCTGAGAACACGGAGACCCAGAAAACCCCTGAGAAATAGTGATTTAATCCATATTTTTGGAAAGAATCAGCTTCCGGTCAGTTTAGACACGGCTTCCTGTCAAACAGACGGAAGAAGAGAGTAAAGCCTGGAACAGATCAGAGAAGAAGAGGAGTAAAAGAGAAAACCCGGATCGGATCACCACACCGGATCTGGAACCTGCAAAAGGAACTAGTCACATATAAGTATAGCCTTGTCTGTTTTAATCAGGGATTTCTCTAAAATAATTTATGTCAATATATTTGTTTTATTAAAATAATTGAATTGTCATTCTTAATCCACATCATATTACAGTCTCAAACTTATACAGAAAACATTTGAGTGGTTAATTTTTGCAGTAGTCTTTAATAAAAAATAAGAATATCTTAAAAAAACAATAACATTTTACAACAGACAACACCAACTGAAGCTGTAAATCCCACGGACAGTGAACGCAGCATTCTGAGTTTACTGCGTCAATAAAACCTTTTTTGTGAAAGCCAGATGAAAGAAATGCATCCCATAATTTTGAAGGATATCCAGTGTTGTTTTAGTGGAACGCTTCTCTTCCCCCTCGCGTGTCTTATCTTCCTCCTCTCTGCTGGACTCTTCCTCCCATTCTGCAAGAAGGCGGAGGAAACTCCAGCGGCACGGCTAAAAGCAGCACTTTTAGCACGGCTAAAAGCAGCAGATACATCTAAAACACTTCCAAAAATACTTCTTTATCCAAACATGTGATTCTACTCATGTTTAATGATCAAAACTTTCACTCTGATGAAGTATAGATAATTAATCTTATAATTTTGGCAAATTACTATATTCATAAGAAAAAATGGTCTGGAAAAAAATCCCTTTTAGATAATTTTAAAGAAACTGATCTTAAACTCTATGTGGCCTCCATAGAAAAAATGGGCAATAAGAAGTTAACAAAAACGATTAGACCAGGGGCGTGTCCAGGGAGTGGGCTGGGGTAGCACATGCCACCCTTGGAATCTGATTGGCCACCCCAGGTGCCAACACACTAATTTACTTTTAACTCGTTCACTGCCAGCCGTTTCCTGATCGCTAACGGCCTTCGCTGCCAGCATTTCTCACCGTTTTTACTGTTTTTTTAAGAGTGACAGAACGTTGCGTGCTAGGATTATGTTGATGCCAAAACAACCAAAACAAAGCGGAGACTCACCTCTTACATCAGGAAGAAGCCGCGTGTTTCGAGCGTTATCCGTTCTTTCATAATCCGTTGTTGAATTGTGATCGGCAGACGCTTTTCCGGTTCGCGCCTCGCTTTTTTTACAGGAACGGCCCAAAACGATCTCCTAATACATGGATGGTCTGCTTCCTGATCATGTGACGTGTGACGTATGCGGATGAAGATCAGCTTCAGGGCTGAGATGTTTGTTCTCTCAGCGCGGCTCGTTCTGATGTTCAAACAGTAAAAAAATGCAAATGACGACTTTAGTCGTCAATGGCAGTGAATGAGTTAAATAGGCTTTTCATTGTCCACAAAAGGCTTGGGGGTAAAACAAAAAAAAAAAGCATAACCATTGGTGCCACCCATGCACAAAGTTGTGCCTCACCTGGGCCACCCCATTTTAAAAGATCTGGACACGCCCCTGGATTAGACTATTAAAATCCTTCAGGTTTATCTCTTCTGGTTAAGCAAACCCCCCTTCCTCTTTTCTTTGTTTCCTATATGATTGTGTGTCGTTTTGTTCACTAAGACATCATTGTACAATCATGTGTGTGAACATGATTTTGAATCTTGAACTGACATGATGATTAATAAAAAAAACAAACATCGGAAACACTTCCAGTTTCAACCTGATCATTACTCATCCAGTCCGCCCTCACAGGAGGGACGTTGTCTTTATTCATTTTGACCTGCTTTAATATGTTTTTATCCTAATGATGTATTTAACATTGTAATAATATTTAGTTGTTTTACAATTTTTGAATTATTGTCTACTAACTGATAATGATTGTCCTTCCAACAATAAATAAGTGAAATACAAACCAAAGAATGTCTCTGAGTTTCAAAATCTCAGATTAAAGAGAAAGTCACCCCCAAATCTACTTTTTTTTTGCTGATAAACTATGTAAATGAGTGTCTGATCGTACTATAGACAGATGCCATCAATAATTTGGCGCTGTGGTGCATCTTTGTTAAAATATAAATATTCTGCCTTAAACTGTCAGTATTGCACCCCCTTCAGGTAAAAACTCTGCACTGCATTTTAATTTAAATCTGCCATTGTTATTGGCTAAGAAGTATCAAATGACATCATCTGGTACCATATGACATCGCAATGTCATTGTGAACCTGTATTTGTGTGTATTTGTTAGCAGCTCCGCCCTCTCAGTCTGCTTGGCAACAGCATTTGTTGCATTTTTCAAACAGGAAGTGGGAGTGGAGTAATACTTTGGCAGGGAGTGACTTAATTTTTATTTAAATATAAACATCCCCCAGATCATCATCCTCTGTCAACCTCTCTGTTCCTTGTATTTCGTGAAAGGCGCTCATAAATAAAATGCATTATTATTATCATTATTATTGTTATTATTATTACCATCATTATTTTTGTTATAATTATGATTATTATCATTATCATTATGATTATTATTATCATTATTATTATTGTTATCATAATAATTATTATTATTATCATTATTATTATTATTATTATTATCCTTGATGGTGAGCCCTGATGTTTTGACACAACGTAAAACAAAACCAACAACAACATGATACATTTTATGAGCGTCGTGCATGTTGTGTTTTATCTACACGAACTCAGTTTTGTGTTTTTCTGTAAAACGTTTCCACAACAACAGATTCAACTTGGTTCAGCTTAGCTGCTAATCGACTCCAGTTTTCAAAGGAAGCTTAATAATTTTCATAATAATACAGACCAACCACCACACGACTGGAACACAGACGTCACATTCATGTGGTATCTGTGCAGAGGGGAGGACAGAGAGGGAGGACAGAGAGAGAGAGAGTTCTGCATCAGATAAGACTCCGTCAGCTCCCGCGGCTCACATCACCAGAGGACCACATCTGTATAGACCACACAGCTGGACCTGCAGGAGGTGAGCGTGCATGCACACACACACACACGCGCACGCACACACACACACACGCGCGCACTGGAACAGCTCAGGCTAGTAATAGGTTTGTCAGATATTTGAATTATTTAACATTTTCTGGTTAACTGCTGCAGGAGGAAAACTAAAGAGTGAATATTTCTGACTGACGGGGAAATTCTGAGAATTCAGAGCAGCTGATGAGCAGATTATTAGCGACTGAAGCAGTTTTATGTTTTATAATCTGATACGGATGATGGAGGACTGGTGTCATGAGGAAGAAAATGAATAAGGAGGACAAGAAGAGACTAAAGTCATAATGTCAAGAAAAAAATTTACCGAGAGCAGATCATAATAATTTGTATTAATGGATCTTACGTACATATTTGATGTAAAACAGACTAATGATCCAGGTTTAGTCTGAAGGTGGTAAAGGTTTTCCAACTACTTTATAAGCATTTTGCCTCTGATCTCTTCTGAAATTAAAACTGCAGGTTTTACTTCCTGGATGCCGTTAGTGAACAGCTTCATTATGACTACAGCTGTTCTTCTAGTCTATTTCTCAGGTAAAAATAGTTTTTTCTATATTTAAAGTCAATCATGATTTTTAAACGAAACAAACCAGAACTGTTTTGATGATGAATATCTAAAGATGAAACAGCTGATTTAATGTTTCTGGGAGATTAGTCACCGGTTTAGACCCGAGTCTAAAAACCACTTTGGTGTTGTAATTATTTCCGTTTCCTCTTTGCTGATTTTGTTCTGATATTGTCACGCTGAGCTGGAGGTTAGGACCCAAAAACGCAGAACTCACTAGACAGGAGCAGATGTAAGTAAGTAAATCCTTTATTTAACGGAGGAGACTTGATCGAGCGATCCAAAAACAAAAACTCACAACTGAGCACTGACTCGGGCAAAACTCGGGAGGGAACAGAACCGCGTGGACACGACGGCGGACCGGCAAACACTGAGGGATAAGACAGGGCTTTTAAACACAGAGGGAGGTGATCAGGGGAACAGGTGACGGGTGTGAGGGGTCTCTGGAGGGAAGGCAGGTGCGTTCAATAAACTAAATGGGGAAAGAACAATGCAGGAGGGAATAATCATGGGACATAAGAGGAGAACCTGGAGGAGGACGGGGACAGAGGGACACAGAACATGACAGATATGTACACTTTCAGGTTTATGTAGTAAAATTCTGCTTCCCACACCTGAGCAGCAATCTGATGGGGAACTTCTCTGATAATTTGGTTCTGCAGAATCCCCAAGTGGGTTCTGCCGTGAGTCTTTTTTATTTTTTAACTTATGAAAATGTTTATTTTGGTCAAAATAAATATTTTTAGAGCTACCAAGTAGTTACTTTCCTTGACAGTGAATGTGCTACTACTAGTTCACCTGCTGAATTAATTATAGATTCACTAAGATAGAGACATCCGTCCATCCAGCCATTTTCCTAACCCACTTGTCCACGTAGGGTGGCGGTGGGGCTGGTGCCTATCTCCAGCGGTCAATGGGCAATCAGGTGGGGTACACCCTGGACAGAGAGCCAGTCCATCGCAGAAGATAAAGACAATAAAGTTTATCTTTTACTAAATAGAATTTTTACCAAGAAATCACAATGTAACCATAGAAACACTACTGTGTGTGTGTGTGTGTGTGTGTGTGTGTGTGTGTGTGTGTGTGCACTCTGTCTTCTCGATCCCCAGTGAGTCGTGGAGGATGGCTGCTTATACTGAGCCAGGATTCTCTGGAGGTTTCTTCCTGTTAAAAGGGAGTTTTCCTCTCCACTGTCGCTGCATGCTTGCTTAGTATGAGGATTGCTGTAAAGACTCTGACACTAGTCAGTGACTCGATGTGACCTGCTGGGTTCCCTATGTAGGAAAGGGATGTTTACTGTGTGAAGGTCCTTGAGACGACTCTTGTTGTGATTTGGCACTTTATAAATAAACTGAACTGGTTCTGATTCTGTCTGGTGTGCGAGATGGTAGTCCTGCTGATCCAGCAGAACCTCCAGAAACTGTTCAGTTAATCATCTGTTGGACTTCATCTGGGTTCTGGAGAGGTCCTGGTCCACTTTTCTTGAAGCTCTCTGAAGGTCCCACCACTCAGTCAGGTTCTGGTCTGGACTCTGACTGGACCGTTGCAACATCCTGATTCTGTTGTGGATCTGCTGCTGTTCTGGATCATTGTTCTGTATCATGACCCGGTTCTATCTGACCTCCAGCTGCCAGACAGATGGTCTCACATTAGACTCTAGGAGACTTTGATGTCCAGAGGAAATCATGGTGGACTTGAGCCCTATTGGGTCAGAACCAGGCCAATCAATCAATCAATCAATCAATCAATCAATCAATCAATCAATCAATCAAATTAGTTTTCTTTTTTAAGCAGAATGAACATAAAACCTGAATTAAAACCCCTCCCCACCACCCATTCAATAATCAAACTCAATAAAATTAAATAAACATCAAATAAGTGACAAAGTGGCCCAAAATCAAACGACAAATACGAATTCAGAAGAAAAACAATCACGAAAAACGATGAAAGGTTTTCAACAGAAACATCTTCAACGACAATTCAAACAACGACCAAACAGAAATTAAAATATTAGGTAATTGGAACGAGTCCAATCAACAAAAGGCGTTCTTATGCAGCTAGCATAATATCATGTATAAGAGTAGCCAATAAAGGGTTAATATCAGTCCCAACAAGGTCTTTAAATCCACGTGTAATCCAAATATCTAGTTATCTGGATTTCTTTTTAAATGGAAACGAGCCAAAGAGTCCCAGCTATCGTTTCTCTCCTGAATGTTAACCTGAGATCTGACCAGATGTACAGAGAAGAGTCAACAGCTGTGGGATTCTACAAAGAAGGTCTAAAATATATAAAAGCATATCATCGGCATAAAGAGAGACTTTATGACTAGATCCCAGATGAGATGCCACTGATACCTGGGTTCTGCCTTAAGGCAACAGCCAACTAAACTGGAGAGGCGACAGTGGGCATTCCTGTCTAGATCTACGGTTCAAATTGAAATAATCTGAAATAGTATTAATGGTACAGAAAGCTGCCAACGGTGAGGAATATAACAATTTTATATTTGGGCCTTAAAGAGGTCGTCCCAGTCCACCCGATCAAACGCCTTCTCAGCATCTAGGGAGAGTACCGCTTCATCAACGCTTTGGTCAGGCGGAGCAGGCACGTTTAGCTCATTAAGCAGACTTTAACATCAAAAACGGATTATTAATCCTTCACAAACCCTGTCTGGTTTGGTGGAACGGTGGAAGGTAGCAAGGTTTTGAAGTGCAGAGCCAGAACCTTCGCAAGAATCTTGGTATCTAAATTCAAGAGAGATATTGGTCTGTAAAAGCCACAGCATAAGGGCTGTTTTCTAATCTTTTCTTCAAAAGCACAGAAAAAAAAACAGCTCGATGCATGGTTGGAATAAGCGATCGAGCAGTAGAGGACTCACTAAAGACCGACAGCAGCAATGGTGAGAGTAGTCCAGAACATTTCTTGAAGAAGTCAGCCTGAAAACCATCTGGTCCGGCTCTGCCTGTCGCTGATCGCAGAAGCAATCTTGGTCGATGAAATATCCATTTCCAGATCTTCAGACAGATCCACACTCCACACTAGGGAAGCAGTAATCGAAAGGTTGCAGGTTCGATCCCGGCTACGGACAGAGAATTCTGCTGTTGTGTCCTTGGGCAAGACACTTAACCCCCCCTGCCTGCTGGTGGTGGTCGGAGGGACCGGTGGCGCCTGTGCTCGGCAGCCTCGCCTCTGTCAGGGCGCCCCAGGGCAGCTGTGGCTACATTGTAGCTCATCCCCACCAGTGTGAATGTGTGTGAACGGATGAATGATACAGTGTAGTGTAAAGGGCTTTGGAGTCCTTACTCTGAGCGGCGCCATACAAGTGCGGGTCATTTATCACACTCACGGAGGGAAAAGTGTTATGGTTGAAAAAAGCTTCCAAATCAGATGAGAACGGTCATTTGCAACATTGACCAAGACCTGTGAAGGTTCTGGTTTCTAAGTGTTGTTCAAATGGTTTACTGGTCATGTTTGGTGCGTGTGTGTTTGTGTGTGTGTGTGTGTGTGTGTGCTTGTATTTGTACCCTTGTGAAGGCCGGATTTGGGATATTTACTTACTTTCTTATGACTGATGGTCCGTTTTAGGACCGAAACTTGGTCCTAATACGGAGTACTCCCTAGGGGTGAGGTTTGCAGATAAGATGTGAATTTAGTTTTTGTTACACATAACTTTAGGAATACACTGGTTAGGGTTAGGCATTGTGGACTCACTAAAATGAATGGAAGTCAATACAAAGTCCTAACATGGGTACAAATACAAGAATGTGTGTGTGTGTGTGATATCAGATGGAAAATGCTCGACTTTGTCAGCGTTCCTGACCTGAAACATCTTGATGTGTTTGTGTTTTCCATCTCAGATCCCAGATCTGTTTATTAAACTCCACTGAAGTTCTGTTTGGACAACGTGAAGCTCCGAGGCCAGAACCTGAAGCTTTCTGGCTCTTTTTTTTTTAACATTTTGGTTTTAGATTTGTAATTTTCTTTAATGAAGTTTAGCTTTAACACCTTTTGGTGTTCAGTATTTCTTTCAGCTGAGACGTAAATCGGTCCCGGCGCTCTTCTTGTGTGGCGACCGGGCTGCAGACAGGAGTTTGTTTTGCAACCACTAATCTGTCGGCATGATGATAATCTGACACAAATGCTGGAATCGAGATTATTTGTCCCACAGCCGATTCCCGTCAAATCAAGGACCTTAAAACTTTTTATTCATTTATTTGATTTAAAATCCTGGTTCTTTAATCTTTTCTTTGGAACAAAGAGCCTGGTGTTATTTATGGGTTCAGTTTGTTTTTCTATGTTAAAACAGACAAAAATCGGCTGACAAACAACAGAACCTCCCGAGGACAGGAAGGCCCGTGTCCTCCATCCTGTTTTTGTAGGAGTGGATGAAGCCGGGCCTCGGGGGCTGCTGGACCAGGATCAGTCAGTGTCGGAAGTAAAACAGAGGAGTCTGACATGCTTTCTGTTTGTGCACGTGGTCCAGAGTAAATAAAGCTGGGCTGCTGGACACAAAAGGCTGAAGAGCAGGAGGTGATGAATCGGATCATGATGGTGATGATGAGGACAGGAAAACGGCAGGTTTCGCCTGAAGACCAGGTCTCACAGAGAAAGATCCAAAACACGACGGAAACCGTGTTTCTGGTTTAACTCTGGGCATTTTTTATGTTCTGTTGGACCTGCTCTGACCCTCCTCTTTGGTTTTCCAGGTATGGATTACCTGAACACCTCCCACGTCACCAACCAATCAGATTTCAGCAGCATCTTTATCAAGCAGGTGCTCCCGCCGCTCTACGCCACCATCTTTGTGTTGGGCATGTGTCTGAATGCCGTAGCTGCCTGGATCTTCTTCAGGGTTCCTGCAGACTCGGGGCTGGTGGTCTACCTGAAGAACATGGTGGTGGCGGACCTCCTCATGCTGTCCTCCTACCCCTTCAGGGTGGCATCTCACCTGGGCTTCGGTGACTGGTACCTCTCAGTCATCATCTGCCGCTACACTGCGGTCCTCTACTACTTCTCCATGTACGTGGGGATCCTCTTCATAGGCTTCATTAGCCTGGAGCGCTACGTTAAGGTGGTCCACCACACCCCGACCCCTAACACCACGTCCTCCTGTAGGTCCAGATTCAGCACGGGGGCCAGGCTGCAGCTCCTGCAAAGTGCCACCTTTGCTCGGGTTCTGGCTCTTGTCACGTGGGGGCTCCTGCTCCTGTGCTGCCTACCCAACACCATCCTAACGAGCCGTGCCGCCACCGAGCCGATCTCCCGGAAATGCATGGAGCTGAAGACACCACTGGGTGTCCAGTGGCACACGGTGTCTAACCTGCTCTGCGTGTGTCTGTTCTGGGTGACGATGTTCATCGTGGCCTTTTCCTACACCTCCATCGCTCACCAAGTATATAAGTCGTACCGACGCATGCGTCAGGACAATGTAGACATCTGCCGCAAGTCCAACCGTAGCATCTTCATCATCCTGGCCGTGTTTTTCATCTGCTTTGTGCCGTACCACGTCTGCCGAGTGCCTTTCACCCTGAGCCAGAGGCCAAAGTCGGGCTTCAGCTGGAACGCCCGCTTCCTACTGTTCCAGGTGAAGGAGGGAACCCTCTTCCTGTCTGCGCTGAACGTCTGCCTCGACCCCATAATCTACTTCCTGATGTGTCAGACCTTCAGAGAGTCACTGCTGAGAAAACTGTCAAGAAAAGAAAGAAGAAGATCCCTGACGACTGCCCAGAGCCTCAGCAACATCTAGGAGAGGCCAGGAGGCAAGGAGACACGGAGACAGGAGACAAGGAGGCAGGAAGAAAGGAGACAAGGAGGCAAAGAGATGAGCAGAAAGGAGAAATGAGACAAGGAGAGAGGGGACAAGGAGGCAGGAAGAAAGGAGACCAGGAGGCAGAAAAAAAGGAGACAAGGAGGCAGGAGACAAGGAGACAGGAGACAAGGAGGCAGGAAGAAAGGAGACAAGGAGGCAAAGAGACGAGTGGAAAGGAGACATGAGACAAGGAGACAAGGAGGCAAAGAGATAAGGATAGACGAGACAAGGAGACAGGGGAAAATGAGGCTGGAAGAAAGGAGACAAAGATGTAGGACACAAAATGACAGGAGGCAAGGAAGGAGGAAGCAAGCAGACAAGGAAAGAAAAGGCAGGGAGACGGGAGGAATAGGTCAGTGGAGAGTCACATAGACATTTTCATAACTTTACTTGTCTTTTTCCTGCTCAGGGTTTATTTACTAATTTTACTCATTTTAATTTCCCAATCTGTTACCATGGCAACACAACATCCATTCAAATGAATTAAGAGTTTTAGCTTTTGAGCTGCAGACTGAATGTGACGTTTAATAAAGTGCAACTGGTTTATTTCATGTAAACAAAAGCAGCTTTTAGATTTAGTTTCATCTGTTCAGGAAACGAGGAACCAGAGGTGAATCTGGACTCGGATGACCCAGCATCGACCCCGCTGGGTCGTCACAAACCCCTCATCAGCACCCAGCTGCTCTGGCTTTGTGGTAATGTGTCCACGCTGAGTTTGTTTAAAGGTTTGGTTTGATGAACAACAGCTCAGGTTGTGCAAGTGATGTTGTCTAAAACGACTGATGGAAACTAGATCAAACTAAATCCTGTTTCAATGCAGAAAAATGAGTCAAACTGTGAAAAATAAACGATGAGTTTCAAACCTGAAAGGTTTTTTATGTCATAACAACTCGGCTCATTGGACCGTGACGATAAACGGGAACCGAACACACGAGTTTTATTTAAAATCAGCCATTTAAATGTGGCAAGGTGGAGAAACGAGGGCCCGGGCGGGATTCGATCCCCAGACTCCCGGGTGAGAGCCATACGCTCCACAGGTGTCAAACTCCAGTCCGCAAGGGCCACTATCCCACATGTTTGAGTGTTTTTCCTGTTTCAACACACCTGATTTCAATCAGCAGGTGATTAACAGGCTTCTGGAGAGCCTGATGAGCTGCTGCACAGCTGAATCAACTGTGTTGGAACAAGGACACAACAAAAAGATGCAGGCTACCGGCCCTCAAGGACTGGAGTTTGACACCGCTGCGTCAGCCAAAGGGACATCCCCTTGGCCAAGTAGCCAGGGCGCATGATCCATCGGGACACTGTGACAGGACACTCACACCGTCACATAAACAACCTGGAACTGAACCAGCAAAAAACAAGCAGCAGCTGTTTACAGGCCGCGTGAAAGGAGACTTTCTGCTGCATCAGGACCAGATTAGGAAACACAAACATTTACAGGCGCTCCCACATTCATGTAAACAATGTTTATTAGTTCACAAGATTTTAATCAGAGGAAGAATCTGTGATTCATGATTGTCTGTGACAGTTTAAACTCTAGTATGTTGCATTTCTTTTTTTTCATGTTTATAATTCAGATGATTTTTTTCTTTGCTTTGCTGTTTATATTTTTTATATATTGATGCAAAATTACTGTGTTTTCAGTGAAGTAACGGCGGCTTACCTGCGTCAATTCTTTAAAACAAGTTTATTTTAAATAAATAAATGTTAAAACTACAGTTCCTGCGTGGTTTGTAGCTTTCCTTCGTGTTCTCCACAAGATATTTCAGGATGTTGTTACTCCTTACCCAAGGGCGGAAATCCCATTTCAATTTTTTTTTTGGGGGGGGGGGGGGGGGGGGGGGAGACGTGAAAAAAAATGCTCTCTACATACAACACTGTATGTCCTTATAAGAGACTGACCTGTGACTCTGTGCCTGTGTCTGACAGGCTCTGGCTGCCAGTGCTCAAGTGACTGGACTTTGCCTAATGAAACCATTTAGAAACAATTTCATAGTTATTTCATTTCTTTCTTATAGATGTCTTTATCAAAATTTAAGTTTCTACTTACTTGACGTTCTGGAGCATTAAAAAACGACCTGATGTCTGCCGTTTTTTGTTTCTCTGCCATTTCAACTGACCTGGTCTGACAGTTGGACAGCAACACACACACAGATGGGATATTGTCATTAGAACGGAGCTGGAGGATATTGATCAACAATAATATCTTGCCAATTTTGTGTCGGTGCGGACCTTACCGACGCATCGCAGCATCCGTTGAGTTTGTTCTGGTTCTGTCAGCTTTCCCTGAACTGAAGCTGTTTCGGTGCTGCCACCTTGTGGTAAAAATGGGTGTCAGCTATTTTTCTTTCTAGTTTCTCACAATCTCCACTAGATGGCGATAGAAACGTCTGTTTATTTTAAATATTTTAGTTTTGACTCGTGAAAAAAAAAAACCATTAGCAACACATCAAATCAGCTAGTCGTTTCCTTTAGTGTTAGTCGTGCTGTTTGATTTCCAACCACAAAATAGTAGGAATTCTCTGTTTTGGTTGGATCTGCTCACTGGTTTCTTGTTCCTGAGCGGTGATAGGATGCAGCGCAGGTGGACCAACAGATGAGGACTTCATATCCAGGAGGAGCGGAGCTGGAGTCTCTGGATTACCTGGCTTGTTTAAATTTAACTGGTCAGGAGATCTTGATCAGGACCAAACGAAAGAGATCCTGGATCCAAGTGGTGAAAAAGATCTTTCTCTGCAAAGCGGCGTGTCTGAAGTTTAGAGACAAGGAGAAGAGGTCTGTTATGTGGGAGGAGCTCGTAGCAGAGCCACCGCCCCTCCTCAAAAGACTCAGCTGAGGTGGCTTGGGCATCTGAGGGGATGCCTCCTGGCTGCCTTTGTTTGGAAGTTATCCAGATACTGGAATGCTATCCTGGGACATATCCAGAACCCTTTGTATGAATGAACAACAACAACAACAACAACAATAACAGTACATTTACTTCTTAATATGTACTTTATAGATGGAAGGGTATATCAGTTGACTCTTTTGCAGGGTGTCTGAGGTGAGTCTAAACCAGGACCTTCATCAGACCAGAGACCATGTTTGGCGTCAGACTAAGAAACAGGAAAACAAAACTTTAACCCCTCGTGTGAGGCTACAAGAAGCAAAAAGCAAAGATCTCAGGCTTAGTCAACAAACCAACAAAAGCAAGAAGCAGAAAATGGAACCAATCTGCACCAGAAGCTAAAAACTCTGGTTAAAGAGGTGAATCCTCAGGTGAGCAGACAGCTGAAACTAAGTTTAGCTTTTTGTTTATGTGTGTGTGTGTGTGTGTGTGTTCCTAGAAGCCGATTTTTCCGATAACCAGCTGATGAACTTCCTGACAGGTGACAGGCACAGACTCGACGGTGTGTTTTCCTTTGCAGCTCTTAAACTGTCACCTAACAAAGTTCCCCCCAGGAAAGCAGGAACCTGAGGGCAGTTTTTGACTTGCAAACGATCAGCATCGCCCTACCGACGCTCTTCCTCGTCTCGCCCACACTCTCCAGTTCTTCCTCATGTCAGCACGGTGCAGCAGGACGTCGTCACTCACCAGATTCACACCGACACACACACAGGTGAGTCCTGCAGGTAACTGCTCACTTACAGCTTCACGGTCTTTAGAGTTTGATCTGAATAGATGCTCTGATCACATGTTGTGCTAAAATAAAAGAACCAAGAGAAGCAGTAGAAGCTGACAGAGACTTATGAAACAACAGAAACAACCGACAGGGTCCAGCTCTGAGGACTTGGACGTGCCACAGATGTTTTAGTCTAAATCCCAGTTGCGGGTTCTCACCTCGCAGGTGACGGGGAAACGCCTCAGTTCACCTAAAACCTTTGATGCGGTTCAGCACTTCGCTTCCTTTTAAGCTCCCAAAACCCTGAAATGTCAAAAAGTGTTGACAGTCAGAAGAAATCTACAGAGAAGCCGTTTTACTGTTTGATCCAGAAAAACAAACACACAACTTTAGCTCCTGTCGTTCGGACGGATTAGGATTGGAATTAGGATTGTTCCTGATCCGACCGTAGAGAGGAAACCAGATTGTGTTAAAGCGTGGTTCAGAAACCTCGTCACGTCTCAGACTTTCATGTTTTAGAAACATCTTCATGTTTCTGACCTTGTTTTGTTTCAGAGTGATTTTGTCACACAACCTCCCGCTCAGCCGTCAACCTCCTCTAGGGAGGCACCGCAGAGCCGCTCAGACTCCATTACCCAACATCCCTAGCGCCAGGTTTTCCGTTTCACGTCACCCGCCAAACCTATATAAGGAAGTGCCGCACAACGCCGGCTCACTCAGTCATCGTTCTCACCGAACTTAACCTAGAGTCCTAACCAGATCAGCTCAGATCACGAAGCCTGTTCAGATCAGACCAGCCCGATCTCCGAATCCTGCCTGTTCGTACAGATCAGCTTCAGACCAGGAGTCGCCGTGTTCAGCTGTGTCACCATACAGCTGCGTACCCGGCTCCCAGATTAAACAGCGTGTCCATTCAACCCGGCGTCAGTCACTCCGCGCTTGGGTTAAAAGCCACGCCACATCCAAACTCTCGCCCAGCTCGAGTCACCCCGTTACAGGATGACTGAGTCCACAGTTAACCCAGCGGAGTTTGATAACCTGCGTGCTCAGGTCAACCGGATGGAAGTCACGGTGGAACGCCTGGCCGCCAAGGTGGATTCCATCGCCACGGTGGTTCTCCAGCTCTCTGCTGCGCAGCAGCAGCAGACCTCCAGAGACCGAGACCAACCTATATTCAGCCTCCCGGAGAAATGGGATGGAACGCATGGCTCACCTGAAGGACTGTTAGCCACGTTAGCCATGACGTTTGAATATCAGCCACACCGATATGCCACACCCCGCTCCCGGGTGGCGATGCTGGTCTCCCTCCTCACCGGCCGAGCTCAGGAGTGGGCAGCCGCCATGTACAATAAGAAATCGGAAGTCTGCAATGACTATGATATGTTCGTGAACGAACTCAGGAGGGTTTTCGTTCCCCCCAGTGGTGAGACGTCAACGGAGACGCAACTCCTCCAGCTCCGGCAAGGAAACCAGACGGTAGCGCAGTACACGTCTCGGTTCCGGACCAAGGCGGCCAAGCTGAGATGGGGAGACGACGCGCTAAAGGCGATCTACCTGGAAGGGCTCTCCTCCCGCATCAGAGACGGGATGATCGGACGGGAGACCCCTGGAACCCTGGACGAGGCAGCCGACCTCGCTCTCCAAATGGATTTGCGCCTTTTTACGCGCCGACCTGCTGAGCCCGCGGCAGCCGCAACCAACAATCGGTCCCGCTCAGCCAGCCCACTCACTGATGAGCCCATGCAGCTGGGACACTTAAACCCAGAGGAGAGGGAGAGGCGCTATAAGGAGGGGCTATGCGCCTATTGCGGCGCACCGGGCCATCGGCGCTTCTCTTGTCCTTCCCGGCCGGGAAACGCCGTCTCCAAGTAGGCAGCAGCAGAGGGGTCCTACTTGGGTCGGCCGGAACCCCCTCGACCCGCACCATGCTCCCAGTGACACTTCATCTCGCCCAGGGGCCCGTTGAGCTGGAGGCGCTTTTGGATTCTGGAGCAGCGGACTGTTTCATGGATAAGGATCTGGCGGCCCGCCTACACATTCCCCTGTCCGCTCTCCACCGAACCATTCCCGTTACCTCCGTGGATGGTACTCCTCTCCAGCCCTATCCCATCCACCAGGAGACGGTGGACCTCCGTATGGACGTACCTCCCCATTCTGAGACCCTCCGGTTCCTGATTATCACAGCCCCTTTATCTCCACTGATCCTGGGTCACTCCTGGTTCTTACGTCATAACCCCCAGATCTCCTGGTCAACTGGGCGGGTGCTCACCTGGGGAGCGGCTTGTCATTCCCATGTACCTTCTCAACCTGACTCTGAACCTGAAACCCCAGATGTCGATGTCTCTCAGATCCCCTCCTGCTACCATGACCTGGCCCGGGTCTTCTCAAAGACACCTACCACCACCCTGCCTCCTCACCGACCATATGACCTGGAAATAAAGCTCCAGCCTGGCACAGTTCCACCCCGGGGTCGCCTGTACTCCTTATCCCCGGCTGAGACCCAGGCCATGGAGGCGTACATAACGGAGGCTCTCCAACAGGGGTTTATCCGACCCTCCACCTCGCCTGGAGCGGCGGGGTTCTTCTTCGTAAAAAAGAAGGAGGGGGGCCTTCGACCCTGCATCGACTATAGGGGTCTGAATAAGATCACGGTCCGCGACCGTCACCCTCTGCCCTTGATGTCCACCGCCCTGGATGTAGTGTCCCAATCCGCTATATTCACCAAGTTGGACCTGCGCAGCGCCTACAACTTGGTCAGGATAAAACAAGGCGAGGAGTGGAAAACCGCCTTCATCACCCCGACAGGCCACTGGGAGTACCTGGTCATGCCCTTTGGCTTGTGTAACAGTCCTGCGGTTTTCCAACGGCTAATCACTGACGTCCTGAGGGACATGCTGGGCCGGTGGGTGTTCGTTTACCTTGACGACATCCTGATCTACTCCCGAACCCTGGACGAACACATCACACACGTGCGAGCCGTTCTTTCCCGGCTGCTGGAGAACGGTCTCTACTGTAAACTGGAGAAATGTGCCTTCCATCAGGAGACCATCTCCTTCCTGGGTTTCGTCGTGTCGTCAAGAGGATTTTCAATGGACCCCCAGAAGGTCCAGGCTGTC